GAGCAGTGCCATTTGACCTCCAAACATGATGTGTATTCTGGATCCAAACAGTTCAATGTTGGTCTCATCTGACCAGACTATTTATCTAATTACTGAGAGAGTTCAGCTGGTGTCTTGGCTTTCCATGCCTTTTTACACCTCCCTTTCTTCATGTGTTCAATACTTTTCCCCTGTGTCATTCCACATTATTACAAATAACTTCATTTCTGGACATTTATGGTTTGATTTCTTTGTATGTATGGATCACTTGGGTTGTTACCGACATCTGGTAAAAATTTCATGTCATTAGCACCTCTAGTAATATATTTACTGAGAAAAATGGTGACATGTTCAATACTTATTTTACCCGCTGTTTTACGTCAGAACTCAGCTGAGAGTCTTTCACATCACTGAGCATTTCAGATGACATTTTCGCGGTTTGGTCTAATTAGCTACAACTTTAAAATTTGTCATTCAGGGAGTTTTTTTAAACCACAAAATAACATTCTTGTATAAGAAACAAAAGATATTCAAAAGGCAAGAAAAAAGGATTGATTTCTGACCATTTGCAAATGCAATTAAAGGCTAACATCCCTTAAAAGAGCAGCCATCACCCGGTGCTTCTCAAGGCAGAGTTTCAGCAAAAATCAGCAAAACTCCCTTGTCCTGGATGAGCGAGGAACTCCACCAGCAGATGTCATAAAGGAAACAAGAGCAAGGTTCAGAAAACAGTCTTGTGCAAGGTTTTGGTTTGCATCAGATGCTTCCCGTGTTTGTTGGATCAACAGAAACTCTCCCTTTGACAACAAAGTCTATTTTAAATCATGTTTGGTCAACTGGAACAATTTTGGTACACACATCAACCTAATAATTGTTTCTCTTTCTGCATTACCACATCCATTTTGTGTTTAATGTTTCATTTCAGGCAGAGCTCTGAAGGCCTGAAAATGCTCCAAATGAGCAATGAAGTTCAGGAGGAGAAAAGTGAAAATGTGGAGTATTCCTCGACTAAATCCTTTTGTTGGTGAGAAACTTTGAAAATAGAACGAAGCACAATCTAATGCAGTGTGAAATGTTAATCTCAGAGTATATGTTGTGAAAGAGACTCAGTAAAATGAACACAGTCAGTGGCAGGTGAAGTTTTAATCGAATTTGGGACAGATTAAACTTTCTTCAATCTGTTGAGTTTCCTCTTCTCAGAGTCAACAGGTGACACAGTACTTATAATTACTGCACTGCCCCATGGTGTTTAATAAGTCTAACAGGAGTGCATTAGTCACACGAGAGCAAAGATAATTAACTCATTAACGTCATCGCTCCACCATGAAGACAAACAAACTGGAATCATCAAAACAATATTCCCTCAGCCTGTCTGTGTTCTGGGTGCTCAAACTGGGCAACAACAACAAACATTGCACAATGATTGCAAAACCTTTTCTAAAAAAAAAAAAAACCCACAGAAGTTTCATCTACACCAGAATTTTCTGCAAAAATGGAAAATTACAGTAAAAGAATTGAGAAATACCTCCTAATATTAAACTATAGTGCTTCTTTTTTTTTACATTTTTATTGTTTAACTTCTTATCATGGAATAGAAAATATGAGGCCTATTTTAGCCCAAAGCATTTAAATGTTTAAATCCTTTGTTTGTTTTAGATTTTGTTTCTCAGTTCAAGGTTTAGTAACAGTCATGCTTTATTTTACTGATTTTATCTAAATTATTTGGAGCCAGCAGTGAACATTCAGTGGCTCTAATGTGTCATTTTATTATGTTTTTTTTTATTTAAAACAGGCTTCACTCCAGAATGAGAGTTCACTCGTATGAATTAAGAAAAAGTGGCAAACACAGTCTGGATTTTTGGCTGTATTTGCTTTCTAGTTATTTTTGATCAATAATCAAATATAGTGTAGTGTAATCATTTCTTCATTTTAATGGCACACATGGTGATTTTGGCAGGACCCAAAATGCAGGACAATGACAGACAATTTTTTTATCACTCATATCAGCAGAACTTGACATGAAAATAAAACATAAACAGTCAATTCATATGGTAAAATCTAATAGTTTTTACAAAGAAGGTTAAGCACAGGGTGAGTCAAAACTCTCAGGACAGCCTTTTATTTCAGAAATGAAAGGGAAAATGAAAAATCTCAGCAAGGAATGGGACAACACATTAAACACATCAAATAAAAGGCAACATTCCCAGTTGTTGTTGCAACTTTCTGTGTTGATAACGTTTGAACCACAAGAGAGACTGCAAATCTGATCACGGCATTCGATTTCTGAGACACGTCTGGTCTTCTTTGATGTGCTACATGACCACTTTCTAAATTTTGATTTTGATCCAATATGGCTGCTTTCAAGATGGTGTCGTGTTCTGGACATAGAGTAAAAGTTAGGCCTCCTCACCTATTACCTGCTTGGTTATTCAGATAGTTCATTTTATTTTTTTCTTTCTGAAATAAATTGGTGTCCTGCGACTTTTGACTCGCCCTGTACACTGAAAAAAAACTTTTGGGTGTAGAAACATTTATTTAATTATGCTTTTAAATTTTACAAAAAAATCAAAATTTCTAAACTACTAGAATTCACTAAATAAACAATACACATTATATTGTATCTTTCTTTTGCTTGAATACATTTGTTGGTGTGCAATAGTTTGATGGCATAATGTAGGTGATATTTAGTTGTCAGGGAACAGGGAATGCATATTGTAGCATTCTGCTGTGTTTGGCTGTTTGTCATGTGACTGCAGTGGAGGATTGTGGGTAGGATTCATGTTTGTTGTTGCTAAATCATTTTAGGGAATTGGTTAACATTGTTCTTTCGTCAATTAGTCTGTTGTGTTACTCTAATTTGTGTGTTCATTATTTGTTAACTTGTGTTAAACCGTTCAGCAGAAGTAACCATAAGTGAGAGTGGTAATAAGACCTGTGAGTTTCACCTTGTCTGTGTCGTTCATGAAGAAAAATCCAATAAAGTTCTTTAAAACTACCACCTGGTGGTGAAGTCTTGAACTACAACAAGAGCTACACCTGTCTCTGTAGCTGTGAGGTGTCATGCTACAATATTGTTCTTGACGCATGTGCACTGTTATAAAGAACTTGTAAGATTTACTTGAAAATATCCTCATAATAATTTGCACTAATGTTTGTAAAGTAAATGTAAATGCTACAACTTCAAGTAACATTTACTCATCATTATCTAGTAAAAGTTATTAAGAATATAAAGAAATGTGAATAAATCAGGTAAAGGTAACTTAATTTGATCAAGTATATGTTACAAGATTTAATTGAGCAAATGAAATAAAATTTACCTGATTTATTCACAAATCTTTAACTAWATTCTTAATAACTTTTACTAGATAATGATGAGTAAATATTACTTGAAGTTGTAGCATTTACATTTACTATAGTGCAAATTATTCTGAGGATTTTTTCAAGTAAATCTTACAAGCTCCTTATGACAGTGCACATGCGTCAAGAACAATATTGTAGCATGACACCTCACAGCTACAGAGAGAGGTGTAGCTCTTGTTGTAGTTCAAGACTTCACCACCAGGGGGTGGTTTTAAAGAACCTTTATTGGATTCTTCTTCATGAACAACACAGACAAGGTGAAACTCACAGGCCTTATTACCACTCTCATGGTTACTTCTGCTGAAGTGTTTAACACAAGTTAACAAATAATGAACACACAAATTAGAGTAATACAACAGACTAATTGCTGAAAGAACAATGTTAACCAATTCCCTAAAATGATCTAACAACAACATGAATCCTGCCCACAATCCTCCACTGCAGTCACATGTACAACACACACACACACACACACACACACACACACACACACACACACACACACACACACACACACACACACACACACACAAGTATGACAGAAGGCAATAGTGTGCATTAAGGATGTTACAGGAAGAACATGATGATCAAAATGTCTCATCAAAATAATACAGAAATACACAAACTAATTAATTTATGTTTTTAATCAGAGGTCATTTGAACCTTTTTTTTTACATTTTTGCTCACATCTGTAGCCGTCAACCATAAGAGGTCTAAACGAGGTTGTCTGCAACTTTGACTAATGCTCATACCTCAAGAAACAAAACAGGAAATCCAGTTGTTTTTCATTCAACATTTAGAAATTCTCTGTCCTGAGTGACTCCATTACAAGTTCTTCTCAACAGGTTTATGGGCAGTATTGTAGTTGATAAATGTAAATCCCCATTGGTGTGTTTTAATTTAGTATCTGCAGACTCTGGAGCGTGTTTGCAATCATTAAGTTGTCGAGCTGCTTCGTCACGACGTCCCTCTTGATTAACTGTAGAAAGAGTTTAAACATGCAGGCTTCTCTCAGATGGCAGAGGAAGTTTGAAGGTTGTGCAGAAGTTTAACTTTTTTTGTGCATTTTAGTCAAATATTGTTGAAGCTTTGTTGAGAAAATTCTGAGTTTTATTTTGATCCTTGATTGTGTTACATGGCTGTCAATGACACTATAAATGTGGGCTCATCTGTCAGGACTTTTAACTTTCAAGTCATTTTAGTTCAAGTTTTAGTCTGTGTTTTTCTCTGCATTAACCTGTTTTTGATCCTAACATTTTTCATGAAGGAGTACTTCCACACGGTCATGCGCTACATCTTGTTTGTGGTCACCCTGTTTTCCGACTCCCTGTTCCTGATCATGACTGACACGCTGCTGGTTTTGAGCTTTTTAAACTCCACTGTGCAAATGTGGCTGTGCCTCATTGTTTACACAGTTCTGTCCGTGTACACGTTTGTCACGCCTCTCACTCTCACGGTCATGGTGCTGGAGCGCTACGTGGCCATCTGCGTACCCCTGCGGCACGCAGAGCTGTGCAACACACAGGCCACCCTGCACCTCATCCTCATCATTCACAGCCTCAGCTCTGTTCCCTGCATTGTCACTATCTCTATTTTCTTTGCTTCAGCCCCCCGGGCCTTCTACACCGCAGGCAGGGTGTGCTCCGTGGAGATGTTCATCCTGCACACATGGCAGGGTCATCTGAGATCAGCTCTGAGTCAGTTTTACTTCTTGGTTATGTGTGCTGTGATTGTTTTCTGCTACATTCAAATCATGAAAGTGGCCAGAGCTGCGTCGGGGGAGGATAAGAAGTTGACGTGGAAGGGGCTCAGGACTGTGATTCTTCACGCTGTCCAGCTGCTCCTCTGCCTCCTCCAGCTGCTCTGCCCATTCATCGAAGCTGCTGTGCTGCAGGTTGATGCCGTGTTGTTTGTTAAAGTCAGGTACTTTAATTATGTCACTTTTATTCTCGCCCCTAGATGTCTGAGCCCTCTCATCTACGGTCTGAGAGATGATTTATTTTTTCAGGCCATCAGGTACTACGCACTCTGTGGTTTGTACAAAAAATCCCCATCAGGTTAAAAAAAAGGCACATGAACACATCTCATATTGTCATGATGTGAACTTTCATTATTATTATTAAAGCTGCTCCTGACTTCATTTTGTGCCTCCTCCATTTAAAGGCCAGAAATTGTATTTTTTTTTCCTGACAGGCAACAGAAAGCACCTTTCCCCGACATGGATTAATATAAAACACATAATTTTATTATTGCAACTCACATGAGTGAATAAAGAAATATACTTTTGAATTTAAGTCATCCATAATAAATTGTTTGATTGTTTTAACATGTTAAAACTGATTAAAATTCACTTTTATTAAGCTTAATCAAATGCAATCCAGACTTTAAAAACTTGGCAATTTTAAACAAACAAACAAACAAACAAAATACTTAATTTTAGTGTTTACAGAGAAGAAAAATGATTGTTGCTTTTTAATATAGCACTCTGATATATACAGTGTTTTTTTTAAAGTGCAGCTGGATGAATTTTCATGAAAATGATCTCCTGGAAGAAGGAACTGGGAGGAGCATCTTCTGTCCACAATTTACTGAGGGATTTTTTTAAAGGTGAAATTAAAACAGTGTCAAGGTATTTACAATATTTTGCATTTAGCTTTTCTTTTAAGACCTTCGATTTTATTGTTCCCGAGAGGAATTTCTTTTCCACAAACCAGCCCCTGCACTCCCACAAGTCATCAATAACAACCAGACGGACAATAACATACAACATGAGATAAAAACATAATGTAACACCATCACACGTGGTTCAATGAGAACCTCAGTGGGGCCTAGTGTTTAAGGCAGCTGGAACTGCAAGGATCAGGCTTTTAAGCTCCCCTGCACGGAAATGTCCTGTATCTGCAGTGCATTGGTTTAGTCCAATTTCCAACAGTGAGCATGTTATAAAAACAGCAGTACAGTAAGAGGGATTGAATGATGCTTGAGCCTCCCCAAAACATCAGAACTAATAAAATAAGGCCACTGGATCCTTTTGCAATGTTTTATTTATCAAGTCAAGTGCCATGGCCTCTCCCTGGGCTGCCACCTTATTGTGGTGGAGAGGATTGAGGGTTTGAGTGTCTCAATGCTCTTAGGAGCTTTGTTGTCAGGGGCTTCATGCCCCGGTAGGGTCACCCAAGGCGAACAGGTCCTAGGTGAGGGATCAGACAAAGCGTAGCACAAAGACCCCTTATGTTGAGTACTGCAGACGGACTTAGACTTCCCTCGCCCAGACGCGGGTCACTGGGGCCCCACTCTGGAGCCAGGCCTGGAGGTGGGGCATGCTGGCAAGCGCCTGGTGGCCGGGCTTTCACCCATGGAGCCTGGTCGGGCACAGCCCGAAGAGGAGATGTAGGTCCCCCTCCCCATGGGCTCACCACCCATGGGAGGGGCCAAAGGGGTCAGGTGCAATGTGTGTTGGGCAGTGATCGAGGGTGAGGACCTTGGCGGTCCAATCTTTGGCTACCAAAGCTGGCTCTAGGGACATGGAATGTCACCTCTGGTGGGGAAGGAGCCTGAGCTGGTGTGTGAGGTTGAGAGTTTCCGACTAGATATAGTCAGACTCACATCAACGCACCGCTCTGGCTCTGGAACTAGTCTCCTCAAGATGGGCTGAACACTCTTCCGCTATGGAGTTGCCTATGCTGAGATGCGCTGAGCAGGAGTGGGCATACTTATTGCACCCCATCTCTGTGCCTGTATGTTGGGGTTCACTGTGGTGAACGAGAGGGTAGCCTCCCTCCGCCTACGGGTGGGAGGACGGGTCCTGATTGTGTTTGTGCCTATACTCCTAACAGCAGTTCAGGATACCCACCCTTTTTGGAGTCCTTGGGGGTGGGGGGGTGCTGGAGACTGCTCCTAACGGGGACTCCCTTGTTCTGCTGGAGGACTTCAATGCTCACGTGGACAATGACTGTGAGACCTGGAGGGGCATGGTTAGGAGGGCCCCCCCCACCACCCCGATCTGAAAATGAGCAGTGTTTTGTTATTGGACATCTGTGCTCGTCATGGATTGTCCATAACGAACACCATGTTCAAACATAAGGGTGTTTATATGTGGTCTTGGCACCAGGACACCCTAGGCCGCAGTTCAATGATTGACATTGTTGTCATTTCTTCTGATCTGCGGCCGCATGTTTTGGACACTCGGGTAAAGAAAGGGGGTGGGGGAGCTGTCAACTGACCACTACCTGGTGGTGAGTTGGCTCCCTTGGTAGGGGAGGATGCCAGTCAGACCTGGCAGACCCAAACATATAGTGAGAGTCTGCTGGGAACGTCTGTCAGAGTCTCCCATCAGACGGAGCTTCAACTCACACCTCCGCGAGAACTTTGAACACATTCCGGGGATGGTGGGGGACATTGAGTCTAAGTGGGCCATGTTCCGTGCCTCCATTGTCGAGGTGGCTTACCTGAGCTGTGGCTGTGAGGTTGTTGGTGCCTGATGTGGCGGCAACCCTCAAACCCGCTGGTGGACACCGGGGGTGAGGGATGCTGTCAGGCTGAAGAAGGAGTCCTTTTGGGACCTTTTGGCCTGTGGGACTTTGGAAGCAGCCGGTAGGTATCTGCAGTCCAAGCAGATTGTGGCTCGGGTGGTTGCTGAGGCAAAAATTTGGGCGTGGGAGGAGTTCTGAGAGGCCATGGAAAAAGACTTCTGTAAGGCTTTGAGGCGATTGTGGTCCATCATCCGGTGGGAAAGCGGTTCGCTACCAACACTATCTATGGTGGGGATGGTGCGCTGCTGACCTCAACTCGGGACATTGTGGATCGGTGAGCAGAATACTTCAAAGACCTCCTCAATCCTACCGACACGTCTTCCCATGAGGAAGCAGAGCCTGAGGACCCTGGGTCAGACTCTTCAATCTCTGATGCCGAGGTCACTGAGGTGGTTAAAAATTTCTTCAGTGGCAAGGTGCCAGGAGTGGATGAGATTCGCCCGGTATTCCTTAAGGCTCCGGATGTTGTGGGGTTGCGCTGGTTGATGCGACTCTACAATATCTTGTGAACAAAGGGGGCAGTTGCCCTGGATTGGCAGACCGAGGTGGTGGTCCCCCTGTATAAAAAGGGGGACCTCAGAGTGTGTTCCAACTATAGGGGGATCACATTTCCAAGCCTTCCTGGTAACGTCTATTCAGGGGTCCTGGAGAGGAGGGTCTGTCAGATAGTCAAATCTCAGATTCAGGAAGAGCAGTGTGGTTTTTGTCCTGGTTGTGGAACAGCGGACAAGCTCTACACCCTCAGCAGGGTCCTGGAGGGTGCATGGGAGTTCGCCCAACCTGTCTACATGTGTTTTGTGGACTTGGAGAAGGCGTTCGGCCGTGTCCCTTGCGGAATTTTGTGGGGGTACTCCGGGAGTATGGGGTAACAGGGAGAGGCTGGGGAAAGGGAAGTCTGGGTCTCTCTGCTTAGGCTGCTGTCTGTACAACCCAACCCCGGACATGCAGAAGAAAACAGACAGACGGACATGTGCCATGGGTTTAATTGGCACAGCTGCCTCTCATTTGGGTTTTTTTCTGTGTAGAGTTCTGTTCTTGCATGAGCGGGTTATTTA